AAACAGGGCATGTTGCTGCCACTGTTGTTGGTTGTTGTTGTTGGTGGTGGTGATGGTGTTCGATCAATGCCTGTCATCCCAAATGAAGACTATCATGTGTCTGCCCCGATGATAAGATGCATTCCAGCACCGAAAGACCCTTTTCTGACACCAAATCCAAATGGAATATCCATTTTTTTCAACACAAACAATTACATAGAACTGGCAAATGTGCCACAACAATAATGGAATCAGTGAAGCCTGCAATAATGGTTGATTAATAGACACATTTTTACAATAGCTTGGCTCCGTGCACTCCTCGGGAATCATGAAATCACGGTTTGGGTTTGGACACAATAAACCCTGGGCATTCCTTTGTGTCAACCGGAGATGGATTGCAAGAATAATAAAACAAATGCGTCCAAGGTTCTCACTTGTCATTCTGACGGGTACGTTTATACTTAAAATTTTGTGTTATCGACGACCGCTTATTGAACCTTGTCCCAGCGATTTTGATTAGTATTAAAGTAGACGGAATGAACCTAGTGGATCAGGTGAGTAAACTGCAGTTATTGTTACGCGCATCATTCTTCCAATTGTTTTGCCCCCTTTTTTTTAAATAATCGTACACTTGGATTTGCACGGACCATCCTTTAACCTGCAACTTCACGCACAATCCTCAGATCATTCAGACAACCGCACATTCGGGAAGGACACTCACTCTCATTAGGGCTCATCTATGTTGCGCATCCACCGTCCCATCTAGGATTTGAACTCCCAACCAGTTGTGTGTTACCACTGCGAACACACGCTTTCCATGAACTGGTCCCGAAGTTTCGATACCCCCGCAGAACAGTATATATGGGCTACGGATGAGCTGAAGCGCGAATGATGCCCGAGGCGGTGGTGGTTCGGGTGATTTAGGTCATCAACTTATTGGCCGCAGAAGAAATGTTTTCGTATCTCACCGCTGCTGTCTAAATTTCACCGCTTATGTACGATTAGCCCCTTCCCTCGTTCCTGAAAATGATTTGTATTATTTTATAGATTCAGTAAAAGTAAAAAACGGCTGAAAGAAAAGTCTAGTGTTTCCCGAATGCATGGTTGAGTGGATGAACCGAGTATTGCACGTGAAGGTGCAGTCTAAAGCATCTTCAGTCCAAGTCTATAAAACTTATCCGATACCACTACTCACAAGTAACCATGATGCAAAGTGAATCGTACATTTCTTGTTCAAAATGAGAAAGTCGATACTGTACCCTTTTCAAAAATCCCCGAAACATACCAGGCACAGTTTGAACATAAATTGTAGTACAAACTGATTTCTCTTTGTGATACTCGCACCATTTCTTTCTGTCCACCTCTCTACATGGACGTTCAAAGCCACATTAGTAATTATGCTTGTTGCCCAGTTCATCATGCATTTCACGATGTGGTCACATTTAACTGACTATTGAGGCCCATTGGAGACAGCTGTTAGGAGACACTGGTGTCTATCAAGCGATGAACGAACACAAAAAGTGCTCTTTTTTCGGTTTCCATTTTAAACTGTTTTAACCTGGACTGACCATCATTAGCGGCGTCTTTTCAATCCCGCTGGAGTGAGTGGTAACTAACCTGTGTGAACGTCATTTGAATGCATGTGAAAAGTTTGCACATAAGATTCTTATCAACTCCACACATCCGCTACGTCCAGATTTAACTTCCTGTTTTTCCTATCCATCAACTAAATCCCAACACCATTGTGCTCTCTCTCTCTCTCGAATAAACCCATATCGTAACTCCACGGTACTCTCATTAGCATGTATTCTAGTTAACAAAGAATAGGTTTTCATAGTTAACAGTTTTGAAGCTTAAATCCCTTTTTATCTCTCGCTCTCCAGCTTGTACATTTTTAACTGAAATGTAGTCTTTATACCTAAAATAACAATAATTTTGGGAATTTTCTGTCCATCTCTGATTGTGTCATAAATCGGATGAGGTTTTTATCTTTTCGCAAACAACAAACCCTATCAAACTCATACACATCCCCGGACTGATCGACAGACACACACACAGCCACATCCATGGTTCGATTTTGTCCGTTAACTTTCTCTTCGTTTGCCCTACGGCATGAAATTTCCTTTTTTCCGCATTCGTGCAATTTCATCCCAATGCTATCGAGGCCTTATGTGGTTCGCCACTCCAGGTCCCGGGGTTTAGGTTACCGGTTTCCATCACTGAACAGCAGGTCTTCGTGACTATGGGATTTAGTCCGCCTGCTGTTCATCACACTAAAGTGTGTAATAAAAAACTGTGGTCGGTTATTGTTTGTTTTTGCCCAGCCCCACACGGTTATAAACCATTAGATTATTACTGGAAAGCTATGGGCAACTGGTAACCAACTTTGAGTTGGGCGCATCAGTTATGGAACAATGTTTAAACGGCCTTTGTTACAAGCTGTGCAACACTTTTGCAATGACTTTGTCGGAAACCAATCCACTGCAGCTATGTGCCAAGACATCTAGGTCGAATCGTTCCACGCGTTCGCAACCGGAAAAGGACGTTGACTGCAAGTTTGGTGCAACGGGGTAATAAGATCGGTGAACGACATCAAAAGAGTTTGTTTTTTAGTTGACGAAATCGGGAACAAGTGTAGAAATTCAGTTTGCCACGTTTCACACGGAATGCATAAAAATTGCGATTAAAAAAGTAGCAGAAAATAAAATCGATACTGTAGTACAAGAAAATATTCTGGTCCGTAAACCCTTCGTTGAGGTGGGTAACAATTGTCTTGGGATTTATCACGAGCCGAGTCCAGCATGGAATCACACTGTTCATGAATGAAGAAGTACGTACAGGATGGAGTGGATATTTCGAGCGAGTTCAGGGATTGGACTCGGTTTCTACGATTTCTCGATACAAACAGTGCCCTTGATCACGATGATCAGTTTACGCATCTGTGTTCTGAACCAATTCGTTCATTATCTATTACCAGTTTTCCTGCTTTGCAATCCGAACTTTGACGTACTCATTGGAATCTCTTTGGAGTGTTACATCCGCCGATTATCGTGATATTATACACCTGTTTGTATACCCGATCCTTGCGATCGTTCTGAGTTCAGCAATCCACCGTTCCTCTGTATCTTTTTTCCGTCGGTAGTCGATACAACTGCCCACCCTAATGCTCTCTCCGCACGTTGGATCGATAGTCCCCTCTGTACATAGCAGAAAATTCTGTTCTTCCGTTAAACTTTTTCCTGTGTGCGCAAACAGTTTCCCGTGCTCAGCTATCTTTGCACCGGTCCAATCAAATTTTAGGAACTGATAGTGAAGTGCCCGAGCATAGACAATATTCGCTTCTTCCTAACTACGGTACTGTGATGTGAAACGCGGAATCATCACAGTGTTCGATGATAAAATCCCTCCCTTACACAAATAGCATCCGCACGTTATGGAAATCACCTCGAGGAACGATTTCATGGGACCATCAGTTAATTCTCTAGTCATCATTTCAGATGCATTAGTTTTCACGAATTTCGAACTTCAGTCTAAAATATGAATGGCTTTGGAATTTCGTTGTTCCTCAGGCAGAACAAAGCGTTTTCTTTTGTTTTAAAACACTGCTTTGGCGGTGGTGGTCCGGTGTTTACGTCACCAAATTATCACCCCGGAGGACGAGTGTTCGAATCCAACCACCACCGCCTGATTTTCCCCGTTTGTGTGTTGTGTCAGCTTTTTGATTGGCTGCTTCCCCCTTCCTGAAACTTGTATCATTATATATTCAATAAAAGAAAGTACAAAGGATAAAAAAAGAAAAATATTCATTCTCAATTCCCGAGGTGACCAGTTTTGTGCACTTCTATGCGATATGGGAAAAGTGTTCAGACCGTTGCGAAAATTAACTGTAGTGATGATGAGGATATTTTCTTGAGAGAACCACGGAAGATTTTCTGTAGTCACCGTCGTATTCAGACTGTTCACCGAGATGATTATTATAACCTCTTGTGACCATGGTAACCGAGTGTGCACGCAATTTAAGCCGATTAACATCGCTCTCCCCCATCATGTACGGACCATATGTGCATCCCTATGAGGTTTGTCAATTAATCAAAACCACCATCACTATCTTGCATATTCTCACTATGTGCATTCTTTTCGTGTCATGTCATCCAGTTCCTTTTTATCCGTTGTTCTAATCGGTCACTTAAGTGACAACCAATCCCCATTTAAAAATTTATAATACTCATGGTTCATTGAATCAAGTTGTGTGTGTGTGTGTATGGTGTTACCATAAGCGGAGTAGTCTGTACCGAAAGGTATCACATTACCGCATCATTTCATAGATGGGATGTTGTAAACTATGATTCTAACGAAAATTTAACAATCACGTAGTATTCCCATAGCTTCAGTCGAGAAAAAGTGCACTTTGTTCGTGAAAGAATTTATGTTAGCCACTCTGTTGTTTTGTTTCACGTGTGCGTTGTGCGTCTATTGAGACATTTTATATTACTGGTCGGCAAAGAGCGCCGGACAGATTTTTCCTCGTTGGGACTCGCTAGCAATGTGTACTTCATTTCCAGTGCACCTGCCGGGACTCGAACTGCGAAACATCTGGTTAGGTGCCGTAACCCTCACGCCCTTAGCTTCACGGCCGATAGTCTGGGGCTAAATAAATTAAGTATGATCCTCGTAATTCCATGAGAGAATTCATAAACACAAGGGTCTTTTTGGTGATGTTCCGTGAAAACTAATTTACTCCCCAAATGCCCCAAACATGTTATCCATGCAAACCAGTGTGCCTGTGAATTTCCTCGAAAGTACTGGTAGAATATTCATTAGGAGAACATATTTAGTGTCAAGTATGATTAAAAATACATTAATTCTATTGTGTTTTCCGGTTAGTTTCTTTCACTGTCCTCTTACTTCTTAGCTCATTTTCATCCTCCTAATCACAGTGTTTGTGTTTGTTTATCATTCAGTCTACAAAGAGTAATACTGTTGCCCCCGAAGTGGACTGTCCAAGCGACATGATTGATGTAATCGCCCCGGTTTCGTTGGAATCCTCTAACTGGCGTATCCCTGTTGCTACAGCCATGCATTCTTCAGGCACCACGTCTGCCGGCGGATTGCTGTCCACCGGCACAACTAGGGTTTCGATATCGGCTCCGGTCAGGAACACAACAGAAGCTGCGGCCACCACCACCACCACAATGATGACAACAACAGCAACGAATCCAGTTGTAGTCAATGAAGGCAAGCTCAGTTTGCTCCATCCGCATCGAACAAAAACGCCATACAGTCGTGATACTGCTTCATCCAATCCTGCCGGGCGTCTGTGGCGAACACTAACTCGTCCGTTTCGTCCCACCCGGTCGAGATGCAATATGCGATCACGGAGCCCAACCCCGTCAGCTGTGATGGATTCCGGAAACATGTCTATCTCATCACCACCGGTTTGTACGACCCTTGCTCCGATGGCACCTTTTGTTTCCGGTCCGTCGAATCGTTTTGAGACTGATTCGAACGCAACAGAACAGGTTGTTGTTGCACAGGTTGAGTCCACAAATTCGGTTAATCCATCTCATACGGGCGTTCTATCTGTGATTCCACCTTGTCCAGTGGATCCAACACACTCGATATCTGATTCCAATCCTTCTGGTTCATCGGATACTCGACTCTAGTCGATCAGCTTTGTCTGCCTCATGCATTCGCAATTGTAAGGAGTTTACAAGCAGGGAAGATGTGAACGGCTGACTCACCCTACGACCGTGTCAGTGCTAAACTCTGTTCATCCTCTCCCGCGCAGGCCCATGTATGTCTGTTTCTCCTCTTTCTCTATCCCATTTGAATGCGTTTGTGTATTCACTGGTCTGTCCATTTTTCATGTATTCACTTGTCATCATTGTGAGTCGCCTATCTCACCACTCAAGAGTCTGTACTGGACCATCTCTCGTCAACTAACTTGTACCATACTTGTCCTTGAAGGTATCTATCCCGTTCGACACGCCTCCCTCCACCGCGCACACGTTTCCCTCCACCTCCCCATCCGTTTGTCAACAGTCCAGCATATTTGTAATATTACTTACTATTCACGTCATGCGGTGATCGATCCACGATGATAGGTTTCAGCAATGCAGCATTGTGAATTTCTCGTGCGTTTTCTCCTTGCCTAATTGTGAATGACTTGCATATTTATTTTATCATATTTTATCACTTTCTTTTCACTTTGGATTATTTCTCCGTCGTGGTTGCGTTCACGCGTCCTGTCATCACCTACTCATTCAACCCCACACATATACATACTTGTTATTCCTTATCTTGTGTTTTCATACTATCTTCCACTTTCATTTCTCCACTATCCCGTACCTCCATGCCCTCGTGCCATGTGAGCTGACCATAGGGTGTGATCGATTGCGTATTTCGTGTTGTATCCATGTGCAATGACCAGTGCATTTGGCCCCGACCTAAAAATTCCCTCCGAATTCCACTAGATCAATCTGGTCGGTCTATCGAGTTCACCCCGTCTCCTCCACGGGTCGTCCGGTTTTGTGGTAACTTCGCTGTTAATGTGTTTCATTTCGTGTTTCTTGCTCGTCCCATGTGTCTTGTGATGTTCAACATACGTGAACTATGCGTGTACGTCACGGTTTTTCCAATCGTGACTTCTTCGGATATCTTTTAGTCCCCTCTTCGTCAACTTCTATCCAGTGGAATTTTACCCCGTCCCCCTTCTTTATCAAGCGATCATTATCATCCTACACCGTGATCGCTTTCTTCCATTCGGCACGAAGCCAGGTTTTGTCACTCACACACGAAGTTTCCGCGTGTCACGTGTTCTCATTTGCACTGCCCCGGATTAATTTGTCTGTCGTTGTGTGACAACATCAATCAATGCATTTGATAGCTTGCTCTGTATTCTCCTCACTCCCCTGGCCACTTTCCTTGCACCCCATCCTATCTTCTTTTTGCCCGTTCAGCAATTCGTCCAAGTGTGTACCTTTCAGTCGATCTGACAGCTATCTAGTATGTTGCCTCGGTTGTTGATCACGGTCATTTGCGCTCTGTATGCTCATTAGCGTTTACATACACACGTATTGATGCGCGTGCGCTTTCCCAATACAAAACAGCACTGCTCAGCTTCTCGGGTCTTGTCACTATCCCTGTTCACTTTACTTCAGTTCAGTTCCTTCACTCTCAGTACTTGCATAATACTATACATTTATCTTATATATATATATATATATATACTTACAGGTATGCACATATGCATATATTACATAATCCTACATTGTACTGCCACGGCTTCTGTATTGCTTTCCACTAGAGTAACGACTCATATCTTAGTCTTGGGTCGAAATCCAGGTGCAGGAGCCCACGCGATCACCTAACTTACCAGCTCGTTAGGTCGGTTCATCCGCGCTAGCTTTAGTGAATATTGAAAAAAGTCCATGATTTACCTATGCAGCGATCACACTAAAAAGTGTGGTAGAATTTGTGAAATATTTTTTTGTCACATGATTTCAGTGACTATGTCAATTGAAATGAGTTCTGACTCACTCGGGGTAGAAAAATGTCAATGAATTATCCAAATTCAGTTGTGTGATGTGCCTGAGATTAGATTTCTGCAGTTTTCTTAACCCGTTCGCGAAGATACGCTCACACACCCTATCTCTTCTCTTNNAACCCCCCCCCCCCCCGCTATATGAACGCTGGCCGTTCACCATGGAAAACTGACGTGTATGAATAAAACTTCAATGGAGAGACTGAGGGATAAACACTTTCAAAGATAGATGACAGTATTACAAAATGACATGCTGTACGCGCGTTGTCTAGTCCGCTCTGATCTGCGATTAATCTCTTGCTTAGTCGTATCCATGGCATGTAGCTTTTTCCCTCGTTTAGCAAACTCGAATCACCCGCGTACGTAATAGCGCATCTCCTGACCATATTGTGTTCCCTTTGATATGTCACACTTCAAGGTAAGTAGTCGTTTACCAATATTTGGCTTGGCCATTGACCAACCGACATGCATTATCGTATTCAACCGGTGACTTATCATTAATGTGACGCACAGTTGAAACTGTTTTGTGATTGGATAACCCTTGAAGGAAAGGCATATGGATGTCGGCAATTCAATATGGCGTTGTATTGAACGTGGCAACATACAGGTGCCCATCTACCAGAGGAAAGAATGTGTTGGATATACTGAATCAGCCGGATGCAACCCGGACCTCTGCAGCTATATCCTTTGTTAGTTCAACAACTGTTATCAGAGATTTTGTTAATATTGGTGCATCTCGGGAAGAATGCCACGTAAAAATCAAAGTAAAGTTCCAGGTAGTTAATCAATACCATTTCAACATGGTTTATCACTGTTAGCGAAAACACCAGTGAGTTTCCCGTGGTGGAGAGCGTAGTTTGTGCGAAGTCAATCACATTAGTACAACAATGTATTTATTGTGTTTAGGATTTCCAAAGGTTGGTTCCGCTTTTGGACAGAAAACGTGCCGTCCAATCCTACGAAATAAAACAAGAAATGCCTCATGACTGTCTTTTTGCTTTACGATAGACGTTTTCCCATACCACTTGATGTGGTTGACGACTTTCATGCTGGTTCACCAGAATCGTTCCATGGAGATACCTGTGGCGATATTCTCAATGCTCATGAAACACTAGTATTAAAAGCAGTTCAAAGAAAGCACAATACGTCTCAAAGGGTTAGCGATTTCTGGAGCCAGCTAGTTATTTAAAAATCTCACAAACTGCATTTAACGGTAAAATCTTGCCATGCAGTTATCTTCCTTCCGGAAGCACGTGGGTGTTTTCTATATTCTAAGGTTGACTGCTCGATGCCAACAGTGTAATGAATCCTTTAGGGTGCCATACTTTACTCTTTATTGATAGCAGCCCTTAGCATACCAAAGCGGTGACACCCTTGAAGGTATAATGTTAGTCTGAGCGCGTCGTAAAAGATTTCGTTAGTTCGAACTATGTTAAACTGTAATTTGAATTCCGCTTTCCTTAATTAGTAGGCAATCACACAACGAGTAAAAAGAAGTAACGAAGGTTGTCTAGCATTCGTTGTTCCCGTTTATTTTGTCATAAACATCCCACGAAATTGTCCACACTTCTCAAAAGCGCCACAACTGATCAACGTGCAATATCGCGGTCACCATAATTCACTTCTTTTTTCGAATCTCCGAGAACTATGAAGTAGCAGGAGAATGCATTTGCACCAACAGGAGGAGGGCGACATAAAAGTAGGATTTATTGTCGTTTACCACGCCGAATCTTTATTAATCCTTGAACTATAGGACTTATTGCACGTAAACACAGGCGCGAATCTACTTCCATACACGAAGTCAGATTGGACAACAGTAATTATTGATTTGCTTCGGGCCAGTCGGTGGGCGGTGATTGGATGATGGCTATTGTTAATGGGCAAATCACTATTGAGTTAACTGAAGACGATTTCCTGAGCTATGCTTAAGCGTGAAGAGCTGATCGGTTGTCGGGACGCATCAGGTCACAATCGATGTCCGTATAACATGCAAAGCCAGCGTTCGTTTCTTTTTCGCTTGTGGAAAGTAACGGTCAAATGCGCTTAATTTCTTTCTTGCTTCGCATAAAAGAATCGATCCGTGAGTTATTAAACACGCACGAAGTCCAGACAAATGGAAAAAGCCTTCGGGGTTTAATAGATCAGATTTGTGTGACTCGTCCACAATAGAATCTGAGGTGAAACTGTGCGTGAAGTTTCTCTCCTTGTGGACACAGCCGAAGGTGATTACGTGTATTGATTGATTGTGTTCTGGGTTATTGCGTAATCTAAGGCTGTGTTTGCGATAGACGGTTAAAATAGTAACGAGAAAATATGCGTGAAGGGATACTGATCAGACAGGTATCATCGAACAATGTGCAAAATATAAACCCATAGGGTGCGGCTCACACGGGCGATTACCGGGCATTTAATGCATACCGTTGTTGTGATTATATGAATTTTGAAATAATTGACACTGCTCGTAAAATCTACGCTTCAACGCTATATTCATTCCCCGCAAACGTGATTTCTTCTCCGCTTCCTTATATTTTGACCTTAACTTTCGCCAATCGAAATCAACGTCCCACTCCCTAAGTTGTACTAATTTTTGAGCGCTTCTGGGATTTGTACTTTAGTGAAAACAGAGGCAACGAACTGGGCAGTATGTCATGCGATTGTAATTGATAGATGCACGCGTGCTTGTAGCGCGTTAACGTGTCGCGTGCACTGAATACATGAAGTGAGAGGCACGACCGTCCCGTTGCAGTTTGTGCAACGTACTGTAGATGTGGTCTCTCCTTGCTATTTTTCTAACAGTGTGATGAAGAATGTTGTTCTACTGTTCAAAATGAACTTACTGTCTTCCATTTTTCCGGCGAGACAAAACTGCTAAATACTTCTAAATCTCCAGAGTTTTCATTTGACCAAGTTATGGATTTGTTTCGAAAAATTAATGCTACAGTACCTTTTCCTCCTATGTTACATGGAATTCATGAATTGAGACTGTTTCTTGCCCGTTGTGGTTGTTGTCCCCTCATGTCATGTGCACATTCAAGGTTTTACAATAGGGTCATTTCTTTCTGGCAATTGAGCTCCGTAAAACAGTAAACTTTGCCCTTCAATAATATGGTATTTTAGCAT